ACGTGCGCCAAATGGGCTACGAGTGGACGTTGAGTCTAAGCTCGCAGCTCAGCAAACATTTACATATAGAAATATGCAACCGACGGCCAAACAGACAAACAAACAAACAACTGAGTGGGCAACAGCAAAAAATGTTGCCTAGCGTGAGGCGCTGCTGGCCGGTTGAACGAGACGGGGCGGAGGCGGAGGCTGAGGCGGAGGCGGGGCTGGTAAGCCTGAAGTTCACTGAAATCCAAACAACAAAACGCAAAAGTTTAGAAACAACAATAACAACTGTAATAAGTTGTGCAAATTTTTGCATTTCAGTGTAAATAAAGTTGCAATTGCAGAGAGCTGAAAACAGAAAACGAAAAGCGGAAAACTGAAAACTGAAAGCTGAAAAAATAAAAGCAAACATAAACATAAATAAACAATTCAACTGCGAATGCTGTAAGCCGAATGTAAACTAGTCCTAATACCTTTGCCACATACACATACACATACACTTCAAGCCACAACAAACAGCTCTGACCTGCACCCAGCTCGAAAGCCAAACAATTATTAACTGTTTACATACTTTTAAGCACATGTGAATATTAACAAAAATAATCTGAAATGTAATTTGTACTTAAATTTAATGGTAATTGCAGGAAAGCCATTGCTTTCAGCTAATATATCGTGTAATTCAATATTTAAATGTAAATATTTAACTATAGATTACTGAATGATGACAAAATTATTTAAAATTTAATTTGGGATAAAATGTTAAGGTAATTGTAGAAAAAGGATTATTTTTAGCCAATAAAAAGTATGATTAAATATTAAAAAAAAATTTTTTAGTTGAAATTTAGAGATGGCAGCGAATTTCATCTATATATATTTATAATAAAAGAAAATATTTAAAAATATCTATTCAACTACATACATATATGTATTTATATTACTGAATAATTTATTATTTTTGAATTTTGTATGTCGACAAAATTTTTATTTATTATAGTTACTGAATTAATTTGAAAGCTGCAGCAATTGAATTATTTATGGCATAGCATCATAACATTAAAATTGACAGTTTTTCTGGCAGTGGAACAGTTTTGGACTAACTTGGTTTCCGTTGTGCTTCGTTATTTTTGCAAAAATGTCTTGAATATTTTCATCGCATCGACTTTTCTGGCAAACTCTGGATCCCCAAAGACTCTCTTAACCTGCTCAAATTATTCAGCTGTGCGCACTGAAGCCACAAAGAGGAGCGCCTTTACTCTGTTGCAATTCAACAAGTAAACAATAAATTCGATTAAATTGTTCAATATTTTTGTATTATATGACATCATTTAATACATTAAACGGCAATATTTAATTAAGTGCCAATATTTAATCTGCTAAAAGTCAATATTTAATAAATTAGATAAAAATATTTAATAAATTAAATATTAATATGCAATAATTACAATGAAAATAATTAATTAATTTAATCAAATTATGATATGTAATGAATGCAATTAAATGATAATATTTTCTGAATTAAATTAAATTATATACATGAAATTAATTAAATGACAGTGTTTACTGTACATTTCAATATCGGAATATTTTCGAAAAATGTAATAAAGGGCTACATAAACTTATTGAAATTGTCTTTGTTGAAATTTGCTGAGAAAGGTTGGCAGATCAGGCTTTATTTGGTTAAAGGCTTTGTCTTTCTTTGTCTAACTAGTATATTATATCGGACATGAGCACCCAAATCGACAACAACAATAGGCGAAGGCTTTGGCTTTACCCTTTGGACCACAGATCTTCATAAATATTAATCCTAATCCATAATTTAAGTTAAGGTCTAATAATGACTGCGCTAAAAAAAAAAATAATAATAATAAATAAATAAATAAATAAAAAAAAACATGTTTATGTAGTCAATAAATTTATAAACGAATAGAAACTCGTTGCACTCATGAATGTATGTATTTATAATACACATATACATATGTATGCATATACATATATATGCAAGATTTTTATAACATTAAAATATTATTATGAAAAAAAAAAAAAAAACAAACACCATTCAAATTGTTAAGCAATTAGATAACTTGAAAATGTTTTCTCTATGTTATTTTATTTCATTTTACTTTTCTCTCTCTCTCTCTCTCTCTAAAATAGAGCGAAAGTTGCATAAAGCACAAGTGGAGATTAGTTTTTTACACCTTTGGCAAGGAAACGTGAAACGGTGGGGGAAGGAAGCGGGAGCGGCACCTGACCGCCCGCATAAATCAAGCCGGAGAGTAGCCAAAGTGGGCGTGGCGATGGGCGCACAAATATGATATCAAGTGCAGGCGGCGTTGCTGGCGCTCTCGCAAATCGTGCGTTAAAACTTTGCACAAAGTTTTTAGAGTAAAATCTCACGCGCTGCGTTCCGGAAAGGAAGAAGAATTTGTTTTTTGGGGAAGCGCGGGAGGAGCACGAGGAGAGCTGGAGCGTGGGCTGGGCGGGTTTTCAGATGCGGGCTCTGTTCAGCCGGCTGGCAGACCCACAAAAGTATGCCAAGCTGTAAAAACCATTGCTAATGGACTTTTGGTAGGCAGGCAGTGTGAATGGGCGAGGCAGAGGCAGAGGGATGTGGCCGACTGAATCCTTAGCCAACTGTCGTCGTCGACGCCTTTTGCCTGGGCGACGAAATCTGCCGTTGACATTTGGCAGTTGGAGTTTGGATTTTGTGCAACTGGACGGCAAAAGTTGGGGCACAGAATCCCAGTTACAGCCGGCAGCTTATTTAAATTACAATAAGACGGCTGAGACGACTACGACTACGACGACGACAACGGCGACGACAACGGCCAACTCGACTCAATGGAGGCGAACGCCTGAGTCTGGCAAACAACTTGGCCAAGTTGTAAATTGAAGTTCGAGCCAAAGGCAGAGGCAAGGGCAAAGGCAGGAGAATCGAGGACTAAGTCCGCCTGAGCCTGAGCCACAACCAGAGCCAGAGCCAGAGCCCGTGGAGCAGCAGATCGCTGTTAAGCATTTACGCTATGCGATTGCCCTTTTGGCTGTGATTTTGCCAGGGATTGTCATGGTAATGCTAATGGATGCTTGTGCCATTTTACGTGCTTATAGATCTGGGCCAATTTAATTTAATGAACCGCCCCATTCAAATTATGAAAGCCGCCTAAATATGCACACACACACACACACACACACACAAACAGCAATATAACAAAAGGCGCATTATGCATACACTAACTGTCGCGGGATATGTTGACTGGCTAATCCAGGTGGTAACAATGGAACAAATATTAGAAAGTTATAATATGAGAAATGTACGAAAACAAACTTATCAGTTATAAAAATTAAAGGCTATCTCAAAAAATTTATTTGTAACAAATTATATGTAAATAAATAATAAAAAAAAGCTACAAAAAATGTATAAATAAATAAAGAGTTAAAAACACCAGCTGTTATATTCGAATTATAGCCATAAAAAATAATAAAATTAAAAAATAAAGTAAATAATAATAAATAAACAACTGCAAATTGTTTATAATGAAATGAAGCTACAAAATATTCTTTAGAACGCGAATTGGGTTGAACGTTGAATTGGGTTTAATGTAAGGTGAATATTTAAAATTTATGAGTTACGAAAGCCTCAAGGGGTACTTAGTGGCATTAACTCCTAATTTATAGCTGTTACTTTAGCACATCCATTAGCTGCCTCCTTCAAGGAGTCATTAATTATCTTTAGATATACTGTTTAAGGAAAAGTTTACAAAGGAATACTTTGTAAAAAAATTTTTGAGATGAAATATTAAAGATAAATTGATCTACAAATAATTTCTAATTCACATCTATGAGTTGAAGATAAAAGTTATATAAATATATATGAAAAATAAAGTATAAAATATATTAATTAAAACTGAAAATTCAAAATTTATTGTTTACTGAAAAGCAAAACTTGAGTAAACAGTAAATAAGTCACATTTGATAAACAAAAAAAAAAAAAAAAAATTATCAAAGATACGTAACTCTCAATTAAAAACTTACATAATATATTAATATATATTAATAAATAATAAGGGTAAATTGACTAAAAATGCTCACTGAATTTAATATTTTAAGTATAATAAATGTTTTTGATAAACAAAACATAAATTAAGTAAACTTACTTATTTTATCAAAATTAAACGAAGTGCTAGAAGTCGTAATATTCATTCGCTGTAACACTTTTAGTGGAAAAATATAATATAAACAAATTAGAAATTTTTAAAGTAAAATTAAATGTTTTATAATAGTCAAACTATGATAATTAAAGTAAGGGTCTGCTAAGTTGTCTTTAACCGTAATCCCAGGTAAATGATAATATTTATTAACATTCAGTCAGTCACACTTGGGTCGATGTAGTGTACATATATATATATCGTTGCCATGGAGTAGAGCATTGCAAATGCGACAAATGACTTTTGATTAGTTTCTCGACATTTATTCGCTCTTAATTTTTGGGGCGACAAAACTTTGGCGAAATGGATCAACGACATGTGCGAGCGGCTCGTCAGCTGCCTAGCATGCGGCTCACGTTGGCGATGACGGCGATGACGACGAAGCCGTCATGGGCATCGAAACGGACGTGGACGCAGATGTCGAGGCGAAGGCGGGGGTGGAGCTGGAGCTGGAGACGTGCACAGAGGGCCCAGGGCGTGGGCGGAGCTGGAGGTTGTTTCATATTAAAGCGTCGTTAACATTGAGCTTGATGGCTGCTTTGATGGGCTTCGATATGTTTTTAAATGCGCAAATATTGCGACTCGTGTCCCATTTGCATTGCCCGGGCAAGAGTTATCGTTATCATAGCCGAAATACAATATAAGCGCAGTCGACCTTGCGACCGTTACTGAATTCTGATGTAGAATCCCTGCCGACCCCTGGCAGGCCAGCCGGAGCTACAGTTATGTACTATAAAAGCGAGTGCACCCACAGCAGCCAGCCACAGACCGTTAACAATCGTTCGACGAGCAACAGCAATGAAGAGCTTTACCGGAATATTCCTGATGCTTCTGCTGGCCGCGGCCAGCTCAGCTATGCCGCAGCGCCGCCAGCTGAAGAGCCAGCGTCAAGTGGAGCTATCCAGCACGCCGTATCCAGCGGCTGGCTTCCGGCCAAAGATACCGTTCGATCTGCCCAGCGAGAGGCAGCCCAAGCTGGAGGAGCCACTGGCCACGACAACCGCGCCATCGGCCAAGACTGAGGTGGAAGACTTTGGCATCACGGAGGAGCAAGCGACCACAACGGAGCTCTTGGAGCAGGAGGTGCAGGTGAATGCACGCACACCGGCCAACACCTACGGAGCACCCGACCAGCCCGAAGACACCGTGGAGGTGGTGGCCCAGGCACCCGCTCGAGACTTTCAGCCACCCGTTCGCGAGGCTGCGCAGGATTTTGCCGCTGTTGCCATTGATGGCATTGCTGGTGAACAGCAGCCTGTTGCTGATCTGCCTGCCCTGGACCAGCCCGAGACGACGCTGAGCGAGGAGCAGGAGGAGCTGTCCACCACCGAGATTGCCCTCAAAGTGGCCGCCACACCCGCCAACACCTACGGAGCACCCAACACCCCCGCGCGCAGCTATGGCGCACCCGAGCTAGAGGAGCTGGACAACGAACTGGAAACGGAGGAGTCACAGGTGGAGCTGGTCGAGGAGGCGGAGCAGGAGCTGAACGCGGCTGCCCTTGGTCTGTCCAGCGGCCGCCTCGTGCTGCTGCCCATCAACGCCGCCGGCGCCCAGTTCGGCCGCCTCCTGCTCGCAGTGGAGCAGCCCCAGCAGCAGCCCCTCCGACGCCAGCGTGTGCGCAGCGAGCGACTCCGCTTGCGCCGCCACTAGATCCAGCCAAACCAAATCCAACTCTCTGATATACGAACTAGAAATGGTATTAAATATTTGCAGGCAGCCTTAAGCACTTGTTTGTTATCCAGCTGTGCCGGAAATCGAAGTAGAAGTAGAAATGGAAGTGGAAGTGGAAGTGGAAGAGGAAGTGGAATTGGAATTGGCTGCTGCAACAGAGTCAATTCTCCAATCCTCCATTCGATGTGCGTGTTTGCACACAGATGGAAGTTGGCGCAGCTAAATTGTCCTCCATGGTTCATTGCATTGTTTATGCGTTCTGTTTGCCATTGGACTCGAGTCGAGTTGCGTCGAGTCGAGTCGAGTAGAGTCGAGTCTCACGTCTGGCACAGTCAATTGCCTAATTGATGCTTATTGCAGTTGCTACACTTGGCAGTAAATCGTTGTCGGGGGAGCGAGCGCTTTGTCGAATATCAAATACTTCCAGCAAGAGCAAATAATCCATGGCAGTGAATGGAGAGTGCAGTGATAGTGATAGATGCTCTTGAGCAGCACTCAATGCAGTCTCTCTCGCAGTGAATCCGATTATGGAGTGCATTCCAGAGTATCTTCTAGTTGATCAGCTCGCAACGCCGGGCCATGCATTGTGCCACTTGGCACTTCGGCTGATGGAAATATAGTGCGTAGCATTCATTTTAATTCGCACGGCAGTGGCAGCAAGGGTTTGCTGCTGCCACGCCCACGGCGCCCAGGCCGCCCACACTGGCATGGCAACTATGTATTTTGGGGCCATTTTGATCAAATGGAAGGAAAACTTTTCTCATTACTCATTGCCAAGCCAAGGCAAACAAACAAACCAACGAACCGACCGAGCCAGGCCAACAAACCAGCGCAACTAACGGCAGTCAACAGCTAAGAGTCAACAGGCGGGGGGCGGGCCGGGTTCCAGTTGATGGGGGATTTATAACAGTACACAGCTGCAGCAGCAACAGCATCAGCAGCAGCAGCAGCAACAGCATCAGCAGCAATAGCAATAGCAATAGCATCAACAAGAGCAACAGCATCAGCCGGCTGTAGCTCCCATGTTGTACTGACTAATCCCAAGTATGTATATCTAGGGGTACACTGAGCGAAACGAGCATACTGAATGCAAATACAAATTATCTTAGTTATATTTACAGCTTTAGAGCTCTCAGCTAATTTATAGCATTTGAATAAAAGATTTACCTTTTCTTGAGATTATCTATATACAACTGCAACTTTTTTGCACTGAGTGGAATGACATCTAGCGAAATCTACACAGTTTTCAGCTCATATATATAACATATGTAATAGCTTTAAAGAACTTGATGAAATTATTTTAAATTATCTATATACCATTTTGCGCAGTGTACAGGCATGTAGACCCGACTAATCCAACATCCGACTACCTCAGTGTAGCATGTTTTACATATTACAATTTGACCAAATTTCCAGCAGCTCTATATATGGGGCTACCCTTCGACCGAGATTATCTATTCATAAAATCCACTTTTTTGCACAGTGTAGAGCCTTATTTTACTTAATGAATAAAACAATCATGCAAATGTTTTACATAATATAATTTGACCAACTTTCCATCAACTCATATATAGAAAACCGGAGATTATCTATTTAAAAAATCACCCTTATTTTGCTCAGTGTATAGTTATGTTGTACCGACTAATCCAACGACCAACTACACTGAGTAAAACGAATGACCAATTTTCCATAACAACATATAAAGAAAGTTAGATTTTCTCAAAAATATCTATTATATTACTTAAAAAATCATAGTTTTTTTTCACAGTGTATACGAACTTTCTGTTTGTTAGCGCAACTCGTGCAATGGCACTTTTTGAGCACTCACTCGCTGGTATTTTTTTTTTTTTTGGGATATGTATATGTGTCTATCTGCCCTCAACTATGGACAAATGTTTTGGGCAAATAAGAATGTCGGGTTTAAGCGTGTTTCGAAATTTGCTGTGGATTGAGTGCACCTACCTTCCAGGTCCACCACACGACCGGCACGCTTGAGAGCACGCACCGCCTCGTCGTGGGTGGCGTCGCGCAGCTCCTCGCCGTTCACGGTGAGTATGGCATCGCCCACGTAGAGGCCCTTGGCCTGGTCGGCGGCCATGCCCCGAAAGATCTTTGAGATGAGGATGGGCATGCGATTCTCGCGGCCGCCCTTGATGGATATGCCCAGGCCGTTGTTGTCCGACTTGATGATGCGCACGTGGCGCTTCTGATTGGCCACATGGTCAGGTACATCGCACAAATCCAGGCCGCCGGCGTCCGCATTATTGTTGTTGTTCAGGCAAAGGTCGCCGTTGTCGTTGCTGCCGGTGCCAGTGCCCACGGAGCCATCCAGCTCTGTGTCCTGAACCACCATGCCCTGTAACGAGGCGGAGCTGGGCAGCGTTCCATTCTGACTGGCGCCTCCTCCGCCGCTGTGATTGCTTCTGTAAGAGTTGAGATACATATATCCCCTCTCTCTCTCTCTCTCGCTCTCTTTTGCTCTCTCTGATCATACATACCCCAGCGTGCCGTTGAGTGTTGTGGATTGACCGTCGCTGGCATGATTCGTCGATTCACACGACTCATCCAGACTAACGGCCAGAAAGTCCGTCTCCAGCGTCACCATCACTCGATACCAGGAGCCACGCACGCGCGTCTCCAGATTGCCGCAGCGCATTCCCGACGGCGACGGCGAGTGCTGCTGCGGTATGGGCTGCTGTGCCGCTGGCGGCGCACGCCCCAAACTCGACGATTCCACCATGATGCTAGCTTACAATGGTCGCCGGGCAGAGCAATCTACATTGCAGCGCGTGTGGAATCTAAAACAAACAAAGTAAATCGATGCATTAGAAAACAAAGTGCAATAGTTCCTATATATAGGAATATATCTCATAGTCTACTTTATATATACATTTATCAATCAACTGTTTCATTATATATATATAGAACTCGTACTCCTTTGAGACAAGTGCTGTGCAATTAAAATTCACCCTCTTTAACTTTTGCACACGCAAATTGTCATTTGCCATTACTGAGAGGGCGAGAGTCTTCGTTTTTTCATGTCTTAAATTCAATTATCATTTCTGTCCGTAACTCCTTCGCTTTTTAGTACTCCCCTTTATTTAAAAGCAACTTCCATTACTTTTACTTAATGTCATCCTTCGGTCTTCCTCTTCCATACTTAATCACAATCTTTTACCTTTTACCTTTTGCAAATCACAGTTCTTTAATTTTATTTGCATTTAATGTCGACTCTAGGTCGTCTACTCTATCTTCTTTTGCCTCGGGGCATAATTTGAGTTTTCTATTTTATTTATTTCCCTTTGTGGGCCTCATTTTCTATCATTTACCTTTCTCTCTGCGTATTTCTCCCTGAACGTATATATCGCTCACTCTTCTTTTTCACTCTGTTTCACTGTCTCTCACTTTCACTTTCTCTCTCCCACACAGACACCCAACCTCTCGCTCTTTCTCAGTAGCTCAATCTGTCTCTCTTTCTTTACCTCTCTCTCTCACTATCTCATTCTCTCACTCTTCTATTTCTTTCTCTCCATTTCCCACTCCCTGCCTTTCTTATCTATCATGATTCTCAGTATATCGTTTTCTTAATTAACTTTACGTTTACCTTCTGCATTCATCTCTATATTTAATAACTTATAAATTCTACTATTTCTCTCTCTCTCTCTCTCTCTCTCTCTCTCTCCCTCTCTCTCCCAGTCAGCCACCAATAAGAAAAAGGAAAGTAATGGAAATATAACGATTTCCTTTGCCATTTCAATACCAGAAATTTCCCCCCCGTTGGCTGGATTTGGAGCACTGACACCTTAATTTCCTTGCGCTGCCAGAGAGCATTAGTTAGCTCAATATTAATTTAGACAGGCGGCTGTCAGAGGTGAAAACAATTGGGGTCTTAGCGGATCTCAAATGAAGTGTCCGCAAGGCAGCCACAAATTTGGGACAGGACGCCACAACATTTGTCATTGTTTTCTGGCCACGATTTATTGCATTCCACGCACAGAGCCCGGCTCCAGGCAGAACTAGAGCAGCCAAATGGACTTGGAGTGAGAGACAAATAGATGGAATGCAAATGCAGCGAATTGTGCGCATCCTGTGCATCCGGCACATTCACATCCTTTGCAGCAACAGTCGGCAGCATCAGCATCATCAGCAGCAGCAGCAGCAGCAGCAGCAGCAGCAGCATCAGCAGCAGTTACAATTACGCATCTTGTCGCCGCCGCGGGGGGAGTTTTTGTCTGATTTTGTTTTTGACAAGTGACTGTTCCCCCGTTGCCCCGCCCCACCTCGCTACACGCCTTCTTTGGCCCAACCTCAATAAACAGAGCTTGGGGCAGGCAGACATCAGCTCCATCTCGCCCTGCATGCGTATGTGTGTGTGTGTGTGTGTGTGTGGCATTTGTATGTACATTTCCGCTGACGCTTGAGCAGGAAGTAATTTTGCCACTGCACTCGGTCTTCGCCTCTGCCGCTGACGCTGCCGTTGTTGCCTCAGCAGACGCCGACGTCGACGTCATCGTCGCCTGAGTCTGTTTACTTTGCAATTTATTGTGCAACATTTGTAATTATTATTGCAATGCTTGCATACTTCTTGGCACTGCTACCAACCCCTGCCCAGCCCCCGTAACCCCTTGGGCAAGGGCTGGCAAAAAGTTTTTGAAAAGCGCCAAGTGTGCGAATCCTTGAGACGGCAATGAAGACGACGACGACGACGACTATGACGGAGTCGTGCACGCCGGAGTTGAAGATGACAACACACTCATAATTGTAAGTAAACATCAACAAATACACACACACACACGCGCACACACTGGAGACGAGTTTTTTGTTATTTATTGGGGGCTGTTTGAGCAACGAGAGCCTTATGAAATGTGCGTAATAAATATCTAGGAATCCAAATTTAATCAGGCTGTAAAGCTAATGCGCCAGAAAACTTCTACTAAACTCAAACAAGAGCGCATCAAATATTTGTGTAGGTGAAGGTA